ATGAGTAATAGGACTTACACGCTTCTAAGGTGCAAACAAATTCGTTACTTGGATGAATTGACGAAATATTGCTTCAATATATCATACATAAATTTAAAACAATTAGTGCCTTTGATAAATTTCGATCATGCAATGAGAAGACGTAGTTTATCAGAATTATGTGATATATTTGCGCAATACATTTCCAGAGTGTTAATCACATTTGTTTTTGTGTACTTTAATATTTTTCCTTTGTTATGACTTACCCTTAACCTGTCTAGTTGACCTTTTAGTTTTTCATATATAAATGTTCTTAACAAGTATATGTGTGATCAGATTGTTCGAAATGTATTGCACAAATATATCACATAATTCTGATAAACTACGTTTTCTCATTGCATTATCGAAAAATATCATACATACTTAGATCAAACCAGAAAACAGTATTTGACACAACTGTACTTGATCCTCATAATCTACACATTTTTCCCTCCTTAACCGTATATTCTTTTCCGTTTTGTGGAGTACAATTATGCACCCCTGGTTACGTACCTGGTTATAAAAGGCGGTCGTCATAGGCCCAAGGTCATACATTTGATCGGGTTTGACAACGAGTCCAACTTCTAGCAAGTTTACACTTTTACATATATGCATTATGAAAAAGTTTTTTTTGTGTTCATACCTTTTCGTACATAAGATGGCTACACTATGTCTATTTTCTTCCAGAATACCAATCCTTTCTGGAGGCCAATCACTTACGTGGAACCGAACAATTATCAATTATATTTATGTATTTCCATTTTGTATCTTATTATTTTTATGCAGGCAGTGGAGCAGTTCTTCAGGTTTGATTGGTTTTCACCATTACCTTTACTTTTTACTTGAGGGCGACTCAAGAGGCAGGTGAGTAAACACCTGATAGCCGGTCTGAGCATGGAAAAATCGTACCTCACCAACATGGTGTTGGGTAGCCCGCTCGCGGCACTTCCTCAGATATTCTTATTCCACATTCACACACTCTTTCTCTTGAAAGCACGCAGTAAACCGTCAGCGATAGTTGTAGAAGAGATCACATGCTACAAAATAAGATGACAAGCTAGTAAATGAGGAGACATCCATGGACTATCGTTGACAGCGTTAGTCGTCACTGATTGTAAGTCAAATAGTGAGCGAGTTGATAATTTTCCCTTGGGATGAGAAATAGAACTAAGGTTTTTTTCGATAGATAGGTTAATCGAACCGACGTTCCTATGGAAGTCGATTCTAGGGGGAAGCTAATGTAACAGCTTAGGTTGGTTGGATAAGAGTCGACCCCAAACAACCAAACATATGCCAAAACAGTATTGTTCAAGTATTCATTCACTTCCTTACTTTGTATAGGCGTTATATTTCCCATTATCTTATATTGAATATTGAGAAGCTTTGTTTGTCTGAACAAATAATCCCATGCTCCACTGTGACTGCGCGAAGATCGAAATAAAGTCCTATTTACTACTTCTCTGATTTTTTCTATCAATAGCACAAGGGTTACCTAAAGACACGAAAAATGCTCCTGCTATTAATTCGTGTCTCATTTTCCTTACATGTTTATCATTTACAGCTACAATTTTAGCTGCGAAAGCTGTAAACTCATTTAGGAGAGTTTTGAATGACATTGGAACCTGGAATTAATGATGCATTCAACCGTACTTATAACCTCAAGTTTTAGAAAACTTTAAAGTCATATGGACGCAAACGCAATTCAGTGTCTGTTTCACTCCAGATTTTCTGGAACGATAATAGAAGAAAATCACCCTTCCTGAGATATTTTTCAAGTGTTTGTGGGCACTTTCGACGCGATTCTGTGTGTGGTTGCCCTGGTTCAGTACATGCCGCTGGTAACAGCGAGCCCACATCGACTTCCGAGGGATCTAGTTATCTTTTATATAATCATATGCCCGTGGAAAATGAGCTCTTAGGTGTTCGTACTTCTGAGTAAATCCGAATACAGTGTGTTATGAAAAGCGAAATGCAAATGTCAGATCGCCTGGTTTTTCGAGATGTTCCAAGCATTTGCGTACATCGGAATTTCTGAAGTAGAGCAAATAATTTGTACAGTTAACATTTACCTTCCTGAAAAGTGCTCTAAAGACATGAAACGAACACAGTATTATGTTGACATGACTGTGCGTAGACTGTACCGCGAAAATTGCGGTCGCTGCCGAATCCATAACAAAAGTGTGCGTATAATAAGTAAAGCACATTATGTCTTTGAAGCACTCCAGTAGTCTTATTAAGTCTTCGCGTCGTTTTTGGCTGCAAAGAACATACATAACAGTGTGCCCTTGCCTTAGTGTACCCTTGTCTATCAGTAGCTGCTAGCTGGAATAGTGAAAAACTTTGAGGTAAATTTTTGCTATTCGTTACCTAAGTTTTGTTGTCTGGTAAGTCGAATCAATACATACTACCTATAGCAACGCGTGACAACTAACTATTTGCTCCCTACGACTAAAGCAAACCATAGACATATTCCCATTTTCATTGAATACCCTTATTTCAGTGTTTGCCTGAACGCTCTGTAAAATGTTTTTGATATTTCTAGTGTCTAAACTCAAGTAATTACAGTGTGAATTTGACAACATGGGTACAACTATGATCTCATTTTGGCGATATCGTCCTTGTTAAGCTGTTTATGGAACTTCCAAGAAACTAGATGCCGTAAGCTACGAGTTGGCATATCACTCAATAGAAACGGTCTTAAATATAAGCGTTCACTTGATGTTAACTCTCGTCCTGAAGGATCTACAGATATATATCCTTCTGTGAAAGGATGGTCGTGTACAGTTTTAATAGAGGTGACTTTTACCTCACCATTTACTGCACGGACCCAAAATCCAGATTGACAATGACAATATTTCGACGCGAAGGATAAAATCACTCGAAATAAGGCATAAGAAGATGACCGATATCTTCTTCTTTGTCTAGGTTGTGGTGGTGAGTTTGAAGTTGTATGCGATTCGGAATAATGATCATGGGTATCATCATCTACATCCTAAAGACAAGCATCTGATTCTGACGAACTGCATCTCGTAAACACACGCGTTTATGTCCATAAGTACCGACATACCTGACGAAAAAGCACTAGAGTGATGTCGTCACTGTTCTCTCGCATACTGACATAACATACTTATTATGCGTAAACTGCAAAAATAATTACCAACGACAGAAGCCATATTACCTTATGTATGTCTTTCAAACAGGTCTCAAAATTGTCTCAACTTGTAAATCGTCGCAATAACATAATATCATTGAAGATTCGTCCTATATCATGAATCATCAAGATTTCATCGTTTTCGTTACTTGAAGGATGTGTAGAATTACGACGTACTTCGTTATTAGTACTGCTTTAACAGACCTAATCCTAAAACTGTAGATTTGTCATGATGTAACTGCTCAATCTATAAGGTCTTACGTGGAAGTCACATCATACTCCACACTGACTCATCGTATCGTAACAATCACCATTATATGATGGAGAACACATTTAGGCTGGAGTTGGAAAATTACATTTAATATAAATAAAAGCCATAAGACAACATGCGAAAATGACCACACCTGCAAGACCAAGTCACACCATTCAATGAATTCAATTTCGAGTGAATGTCACCGTGTGTACCATTATTGACCTCTTAGTGTAACATGTTGAAATTCTATTTTTCCAGTCATCTCGTGTTCAGCTTTGTTGATTGTGTGGTTAGTGCTCAGTACCACTACAGATGGACGTTATCAGACACAGTGTGGCTGTACTCAATTCAAATCTAAAAGTGTCTTGATTTGACCGCTTCTGTAAAACTTTACAAATTATCGAAATGACGCACAAATCACTTTACTACGGTTTGACCTTCAAAGGCTCAGCAACCTCCATCAGTTGACGATACCCCTGAAGCGTTACAATGGGCTGTTTCACCGTCGAATGATTCCTAACTCTATCGTGGGATCGTATTCGTTTTTGGCCAACATCAGCTTTTCGGGAGCCAGTCGACGCTTTTTCGAGAATGCAGGCGGTCCTGTAGTCGTGATGTGGTATGTAACATTGCTGGTTACACGCGGTAATTTCGGTCGAAGTTGGTATATTCCAGAATACTTATCGAGTAATGATTGATAGAATGGGTCTATCGTAAGCCTAACTATGGCAGGAGATAATCTGCAGCTGGAAAAAGAAGTTACGCAAACAGATAAATTAGTGTTTCCGTCTACTAGCCTCCGGTTGCGTGTATCGATGAGTAAATTGTGGTGTTGTAGAAGGTCTATACCAATGATTGGCATAGAAACATCTACAACAACGAAATTCCAGTGAATGGGTTTACGTAAACCTACGTTAAGGTAAACGTACCTTTTACTATATGTGGCGATTGGCTTTCCCTTTGCCGCCTGTAAGTTGACAAAAGATTTGTGAAGCCGGTCGTTAAAATTCACTGAAAGAACGCTAACTTCTGCGTCAGTATCGACGAGCTGGCGGACTTACGTTAGCACATCTGTGACGTATAACAGACAACTATGTTTGTCAGATACAGTTGCCGTTAACGTGTGCCACCTGGGAAGCTTCCCGAATTGTTTCTCGTGTCAGTCAATTTTGAGTTCGGAAAATTGCAGGGTTTTCTGCAATTTCTGGATGGCTTTCCATACCGGTTATGGTACCAGCATCGATCGGGGTTATCTGTCTCTCGTGGTCTAGAGACAGATGGCTTACGTGAAGTGCTTCTTCGCGGGGTATGTGACCGTTCAGAGTTATCTTGAATTCGTTGAAGTTGTTAGTACCTCGTAGGAAGGTTGTATTGAACTTTTCACTGCTATTCCCCACTGCCCAGTGTTTCTTTAACTTCCGTCTCATCTTGACCACAACCAGGTGGTGATCTGAAGCTATGTTGAATGTTCACACCTCTACATAATCAATAGAAATACCGTAATTCAGCGTGAATAAACATTATATACCACAATCACAAGACTTAAAATACGGTATGGTTGTTTGATTAATTCAGTTCAACAGAGACTGGTTCGGGTGTAAAGCCTCGCGTGTAATTCCCAAGGTCACTCTTCCCTGTATCATTTATTGGGTAAACGACTGAGTAAGTTATTCTACCTCTCATTCCTTTTTATTTTAACCGATAAACACCACCCCGATTTGTATGCTTGTGCTTGCCTGTTTTTTAAACTTTCAACAACCCTAGAGCGGTATTTGATACCAACTTAAGCAAATCTTAGCACACGCCGTCTGAAGTTATTCATCATCAAAGTATATTAAGTTTGTGTTAAAATAGCAAAATTTACAAAATTACCCCAAAATTTTCCGTGAATTACTCTAACTTTGGGCAAAACTACGGATTTTCATTGTTCCTTCCCCAAGGTTTTCAGAAAGTGGACAATTTTTCCCACAAACTCTGACGATTTGGATGACACCAGAAATTATCCCAGTTTAAAGATATTCCTCTCAGTTTTAGTCATTAAAATTGCATATGGTCTGGGATACTGCCCGGTTAACCATACCGAAGCAAGTAATGATAAAAGACAGTTTATGGCATTGTGCTGTGGTATTTAATCGTTACGTGTCAACGTCTAACTGTCCTCCACAACTCCGTTAATGGGATTCTAGAGCTATTGTTACACGGTAGGTAAGATGTTATTAACTTTGGCTCGGTATTATATACATTGAGTCCTGTTATAGTTTTCCTTTTCTTTCAAGATAGAAGTTAAAGGAAATTATGTAACAGGTAATTTCTAGTTATATTATTCCTAGTTGAGCTGCTCCTCTCATTATGATTCACCCTCACTTGTTTTATATTCCTGTATCATTTTGTCCTTTTATTATACTCTTCTTCCGTCATCAGCCATTTCAAAATCCTGAGCATTTGTTATAGGTGCCATAAACTCACTTGGAATTAGACTGTATTGAAAGCAGCCACCACAAGGTTTGTATATGCTTCACGAAACCACTCTTTATATTTGCCAAATTGGATGCCTCAGTTGACAGCAGATCGGCAACTAGTTCGCTTACAGATATATTTAGTGACCATGATGAATAAATAGTTGTAAACAAAGTCGACGAACAATGAAGTAAAAGTGGTAATCAACCTTTAAAAAAGACTGGCAGATTGGCTGTATTTAATAAAATTCTCATCCTATTGTGCACCATAAATACCAAATAGTAAGTTGAAGCAAAAATTCAGTAAGCTAATAATTCGATCGGAACCCAAAATGATGAATTGTCTACTAAAAGCTTTGCACAAAAACTACTCTTGCGCATGGACACAGCAAAAGTTTGAAAAGTACGAATCAAGTTGGGACAGTGCTTATAGTTTGTAACACGCGTTTGATTGCTAGACATATTCATGGGAAATATTCGTTCGCGTAAACTATCTCAATAAAAACAAGTTTTGCAGTATTGTCTTACTCCCTTTGATAGTGGCCCTTCAGGAAACACTATAGTATTTTTAGTTAACTGTTAAGAAATGATGAATTACATCTAGTTACCTCATTTTGCTAGTTCTTCTTAGCGTATGTGTATATGACGGTTTAATTATTTTTTAACCTAATCTTTTCACAGATTAAATCAATGTCTCACAAGCGTCCTGAGCACTCACTTCCTCCCGAACTGGTAAACTATCGTAGTATTCTCCCTTATTTCTAGTACTATAACAGTGATGAGGCCAAAAAATACAGTTCAAAGTGAGTTTCGTATTTCTCTTTTTTTTTGTAGTTCTCATATCATTGATATTCAAACGCGTATCACAGAACGGGCTCTAGAATTACTTGCGTTGCCTGAAGATGAATCATGCATGGTTTTAGATATTGGGTAGAAAACAACAGGTTTTTCTCATTTATTAATTCAGATGCGGCTCCGGTTTAAGTGGTGAAACTATTACTGAAAATGGTCATCATTGGGTTGGCGTTGACATAAGTAAAGATATGCTTGAGGTTGCATTAGACAGAGAAGTGGAAGGTAGTTTAGTACTTGGTGACCTTGGTTGTGGATTGCCGTTTCGTGGTGGATCATTTGATGGGGCCATTAGCATTTCTGCAATACAGTGGCTATGCAATGCGGACAGATCCTCTCAAAATCCAATTGCACGTCTAAGAAGATTTTTCGTCTCGCTGTACAGCAGTCTTACTCGTGGTGCACGAGCAGTTTTACAGTTTTATCCGGAATCCATAGTTCAAGCAGATCTATTGCAGAATGAAGCTACGAGAGCTGGATTCACAGGCGGTCTTGTAATTGATTACCCTAACAGCACGCGAGCGAAAAAGTAAGTTTGATTGATGCAGATGATGTTACACTGTTAGGCCGTAGCTAAAGTTTATATTGGAAATTTCTAAGTCAGGCATCGCATTCAGGGATAACGTTTTTCATCTTTAAGAGTGTTGACAAAAAGTAAAATACTTTTCTGAACTCAATCGCCTTTCGTAGAATCATTCTGTTAAAATATAGTTTGTCCATAATGTGATAGTAATTCTCTATATTTAAAGTTTAAGATATGTATTGGGTATATACTTAACCATAGTTTAGCGTTTAATAGTGTACTTCTGGTACATTAGCATTTCTTTTTCGACCCTTATCCATCTGTAATATCCAGGCTAAGTATCTTTCTAATTGCTTTGGAATACTAGTACTTCAATTTATATGTTAGTATGAAAATTCCGGGTCCAAATTTAAACCAATTTAAGCTACTTTAAAAAACTATCACTAATTGTAAAGTGTGTGTGGTTTAAAGCTGGGAACATAAATCAGTATTTCGTTACACTATCCATAGGTAAATTCTCTAATTGCACTTTAGAAAGTGGTAATCACTCAGCACCATCACAATAAAAGCATGCTGGTGAAGTAAAGTTTCATGTACTCAAGTCCTAGGTACACTTTTTTGTTAAGGTTGTTAGTAATATCTGGCTATTCAAACCGAGGCAAGTAGTGGGCCTTCAGCCACACTTCGGTTTCCCAAGATCTCCAGTCGACCTGAATGGCAAGTTAATGTAAGTCCTCCAGCTCTTTACGAAGTTGAAAAAGCTATAGGAAATCTGAAGCATAGGAGAGCAGCAGGCTCTAACAGGTTTACCCCTGAGATTTTTATTGATAGAGGTCCAGTATTAGCAGTGAAATTGACTGAGGTTTTAGGTAGAATCTGGGAACTGGACATAATTCCATCTGACTGTTCTCAATCACTGATTGTACCTGTGTGGCAATCACGGAGGAATCGGTTTGACTAGTATCGTATCTAAAAAATTAGCTTCAATAATACTTCGACGCCTAACTAAAGCTCATGAAGAGCAGATTAGAGAAAACCAGACTGATTTTCGACCTGGGCATTGTTGTATAGACCAGATATTCACACTACGTCAGGTCCTAGAACATAGATACACATTCAGGCACTTCACAATTGTAGTATTTCTTGACCTTAAGGCGGCATTCGACTCTGATCGTAAGGTTCTATGGCAGTGTTTGCCACTGAAAGGGGTACCAAAGAAGTACATCAACCTTGTACAGGCTCTCTACTGGAACATAACTGGTAGAGTGCTAGCTTATGTCGAACTGTGATCAGAATTGATTACCTCACGTGGTGTTCGTCAGGGCTGTCCACTCTCTCCATTCTTGTTTAACTCTTTTAATTTAATTTTTTATTTGAACACAAATATTGGTACAAGGGGGCACCAAATATATATACGCCACACTTTTTAACTTTATCGTAGACGTGCTTTTAGAAATGACACTCTCCTTATCTGACTTTCCAGGGGTTGAATTTCTAACACGGGATTCACTTTTTAGACTTAAAATATGTCGATGACATAGTTCTATTTGGTGAAGACGCTGACAAAATGCAGAGTCTTCTGACCACTATAAGAACAATGCAAGCATGTTCGGGATGCGATTCTCCCCCTCGAAATGCAAAATGTTGTTTCAGGATTGGGTTGCATTGACACCCGAACTAATGATAGGGAGTGAAGTGGTTGAGCGTCACAATTGATTGATCACTGGGTGGTGATCAATGTCATGCTTGTCTAGTCCTTATTGGTGTTGACTACCTCCAACCACCATCTAAATCTCAATATATAGTGGTTGAGCGTGTCGGCGGCTCCACTTATATTGGGAGTCTCATCATCCCTTTTGGTCTGGTGTGTGACGAAATCTCAGCACGGATACAGAAGGCTCGACTAGCTTTTACCAACTTGCGTCATTTATGACGTAGGCGAGATATCCGTCTACCGACCAAAGGACGGGTTTACTGCATAGCAGTTCGTTCTGTCCTACTTTATGGTAGTGAAACATGGTCGGTAAGAGTAGAGGATACTCGTAGGTTACTGGAATTCGATCATAGGTGTCTTCGAAGCATTACTCGTATATCCCTGGAACCACCGAGTAAGTAATGTAGTTGTTAGGAAACGGGTACCAGGTAAAGATGGCAAATCAATTGATGAAGTAGTGAAACTTCATCAGTTGAGATGGCTGAGACACGTGTTACGTATGCCCAACCACCAACTGCCCCGATGTGTGACTCCGCTTGTAAGCGGAGTCCTTTAGACACAATATCAACTTGACTACATTTGCCTTTGCATTGTTTTCCACTTGCTTCAATTTTTGTTTTGCGACACAACTTACAGCTGAGACATTTCGGTTCTTCCGTATCATCTAGTGTCACCAAATAACTGCTTTCCTAAAATTTCTCTTCAACACTAAACCATAAATTTGAGTTCTGTATTTTAGGTGAATACCTAAATTATTATTAAGGATCTAATGTTCTTTACAAAAGCAACAAGTTACCCCGAAGTATGTGTCGGTTTTAGTGTACATAATTATTTTATTGAAGTTCATTCTGTTTTTGACACAAATTGACCAGTCATTCATTTTTAGGTACTTTTTGGTATTGGATGTTTGCAGCACTCGCCGTATCCCGCAGCCACTTACAGAAAATAATGAGATGTCAAATCATAATCGAAACAAATTAGAGACCTTGAGAGAATGTAGACAGATGAAGAAATTGCCAAAGCACAGTGTAGCCTGGATAAAACAAAAAAAACAACGTGCCAGGGATCAAATGAAAGAAGTTGCTCGTGACTCTAAATATACAGGACGCAAGCGTCGTGCTAAGTTTTGACACAGTTTCTCATTAATTTCTTTAAATTTACGACCTGTATATTGTGTACCTCGTTTATAATCATGGGATTCGACTTCAAAGTTGTTCAATCGATTCTCCAATCAATCTTCTCCAACACCTTTGTGTTTTTTCATATCTAATTGTCAGTGTTAAAGTTGTGAAAACTTTGTAAACATTTAATTATTCGAGTTCCTCCCTCAGATTTATTAGTTCGATTGTAAGTTAATATCTTCCAATACACTAATTTCATACTTAAAAATATGTGATAGTTTTCCAATCAAAATCGTGTTTTGCAATTCTTTAAGTGATTTATTAGCTAATGTTTTATGTATTTACCGCGTGCAATCGAAATCATTACTTACGTGTTGATCATTAAGACTTACATTGAATGATATATAATTTTGATTGAGTCCGTCTTTCTTGTTGCTTGTAACGTTTAATGACGTAAAATGAGTGTCCACACTATGAGTGGCATGTTCTGAAACGTTTGTTGTACCCTTTACTGTTATCACTGTTAATCTTATAAAGCAATGTGGAATATCTGTATTTATTGCCAATATTTGATTTCCAATAATGTATTCATGAGTTTCTTTGACAAATTAAAGCGTTATTCTCAAATAATGTCGTTACTGAACTAGTAAAGAAAAATCAAAGGGATTATTATGAAAAAATAAGTTTTCGTCAATGTCTTAATTAGGGTATATATTTGTTTTCTGTTGGAATTAACAGGTGAAGTGACCTAGTTTGGTGAGGTGAGAAAAAGATGTTGACGTTGGTCAATGCAATTGGAAAGACTGGTTTCAAGCAGCAGAACGAAGATTCCGGAACACTCGATAATGCGAATGATAGTAAAGTTATTTTTAGTTATTCAGTTATACGTAGCATAGAGCCATTGCACATATATGTATCAGTTCGAGCCGCTGTGCTATATCAGCATAGTGAAATATCGAGAAAATACCAGGGTATTAGAAGTAAAAATAGTTAATAACTTCATGAATTGGTGTTTTGGTTTTGCCTCGCGATGCTTTCTTACAATCTACTCTTATATCAGCTGTCATTGTGCGTGGACGTGGGCGGTTATTGGATATACGCAATACATATCCTAACTGCTGTAGTTGATGAAGTACAATTTAACTGATCGGTCCGGGTTCTCTACCTATTACCCTGTGTTCAACCTCGACTTTGTTCACTTGTCAGTTCAACATACTAGACCAATACTTCGAGAGCTTCTACGACCAAATAACGAAAGTCTACTAATATAATCCATTTTTAAAGGCCATATTTCATGGTCTTAGAGTTAAAAAGAGCTAAGGGCTGCTTGTTAAACTCGTTCTTTGATTGGCAACCAGGTATCTCACATCATCCCCCAACCAAGGCTGATAAGACTTCCAGGATATTAGTGATGAAGCAGGTTGAGAATCACAGAAGTGTTAATAAGTAGGGTACGGAAACAAAGGATGAAGTCAATTGGAAATGTAATTAGAACACTAATATCAAGATCCCTTCTATGTATACAAAAGGTATTATTTCAATTGATAGAAATATTATTTTTCGAAAGCAGGCGTATATTTATTTGAAACGTAATTTATCCTACAAAGTATAATTTCTCCGAAAACAAGATGTGAACTCTATCGAAATGTTAGCTTAACATGCAAAATACGAAGTGGATCGTTGTAACCTAACTATCGGAAATAGATGTTTTCAGCTTCATTCCTTGAAAGCAAACCGTCTTAAAGAGATTTCTTTATAAAGGGGGGTACGACACTTCAATCCCTAACAGTATTCTTTAATAGTCGTTTAGAATAATTGTTTATCATGTCACTTGTTATTCCTTATAAGTGGATTGGTAGTCCTTGAAACTAATAATTTTATTCAAGCAACAGTATTTTGAGAAATGAAACTACATCCAGATTAGTTTCTATTACTATATGTTGTCAGCTTGACGACTTCTTGGGTCTTCCAGTTGATGTAGATTATAAGTATACTCAACAGTACTGGCAAGTTATTTACGAAATGAATCATCACTAGTGACAAACAACTAGTTTGTGAAACAAAGTCTTGTTATGGTAATGATATAGCTTGTTTACCCAAGAAACTTGTACGAAAAACAGAATGCGATAGGCGGAAGAGTTGATGCGCCTAAAAACGTATCAATAATTCTCGCTCATTGATAAGGTGGAGACGCATGACTATGAACTTAACAATTAAGTTTTATAAACAAACATTTTGAGGAATAAGTAGTAATTGGTAGTCTAAACGGAAACAGCACGAGTTGGTTAGATGAGGACTTTGCATTTATGAGTTTAAAAGGAGGTAGTGGTAATTACCGTTTACTGAATGCATCCGAGCTGGTTTCATGTTTTAATTTAGTTACAATCTAAATTAAAACGAAGTTTACTGATGTTTAAACTAACGGTTCACTAACCTACCTAAAATACCATGTAGGAGGAATTCATCTGTCGGTCCCACTATAATAACAAACCCCCAGTTTGAGAAAACTATTAGTCAGTCGCATCGATTAACCGCATTCTTATCAAGATAGTCAATGACTGAAGATGTACCTCCGGTACTGTGTTTTAAACATCGGAATATTCTTTGTTTCATTATACCGGTCATATAACAAGGTTCCCTTAGTACCCAATTCAACCTTACTTGAACCTGCTGAACGATCTCTAGGGCTTTAGAAGAAGATTAGTAGAAAGTCTAATTGATTCTTAGCTCTACCTAACTTTGATAAACACCTGCTAAAAAAGGATCACAAGTGCTCTAATTTGTTGGTAACACTCGAGCTAATACAGACACAAAAGACGTTCACATTAAAGTGATTTGGACGAAGTTGAGCGATCATTCTGGCCGTTGCGCCTGTGGGATTACACTTAATAAAGAACCCAGCAGTGTGGATATTCTGTAATGTTATCAGGGTCATACAAATAGATTTACAAGATATTAAGTTGTGGCTTATGATCAAATATTATGTACGATACTATCCCACTTGATCCCCAAAGTATACTTAACTGACGTCTACTACTCGGTTTTCCAAGCCCTTACAGCTGCACGAGGTTTTAACTCTAACCCAACTCAGTTCTGTATCCCCACGTTAATTCCTTGCATAACAACTATAATGAGCAGATCCAGACAATACATAGCAAAATGCAGACCAGTCAGTTGCTAAAAAGATTAGCTGACAGGGATATTTCTATGAAACATATGTAGGGGCAGAAACAATAGTGGCATTATAAATGCGTATATCCGCACAACTGGAGTACATGAAACTAGTGACAGATAAACCCGTAGGTACTACTCATGCAGGACCCAGGGCAGATGTCGCGCAAACACAAAACCTGTCCACTGCACTTTCTGATAACGTACTAGGAATTGCTTAACATGTCAATGAAGCTAAGGCCAGAAGCTTGAGATTTTTTTATGACCAACTAGTTTTTAAACTAGCGATACTCCTATTGGTCATGTCTTTGCGACTGTCTACGCAAGCTGACGAACTATCGTTACCTGTAACGGAACAAGATATGTAGTATGACACCAGTTTTATAAGTTCCTAACATACCATGACGTAAGCATTAATATTGGGTCAAATGGCATGAGGTAAAGTACTGAATCACCCTAACATTCAAAATTATGCGGAATATAGAAAATTAGTAACATCTCGAAATATCTAGTGTTCCTTTTTAACGTAGAAACAGCAAGTTTAAAAGTTAATGTACTCGACGTTAGTGTGAAAATAATTATTACCGGTTATACAAAATGATAAATGGCAGATATGGGTTGATAAAAGTGTGTATTATAAGATTATACACTAAAATCGAGGACGATCATAGTAAAATATACACTTATTCCAATGAGATAATCAAGGATCTCGATAGGAGATAGAAAATAAATAATCGGGAAAATAAATAGACCGAGACAGCTAGACAATTAAATGACGACATCACTGAATTTCTATTAGCATGAAGTTTATCTCAACAGCACTAAACTGGATTTGCCTCTCCATCACTGTCGAATTTGAGATCTGCTAGGGTTTCCATTAGATATGAGCGAAGTTGAGGCAAAGATGCTACACGTCCATAGAAATCGTCCACACGATACTTGTTAAATATTGCCTGCGAATATTATAGATTAGTAAAGTAAAACATACTCTATATTTCGAAGGAGAATTTTGACGATAAGCAGCCCGAGCGAGAATCTGCAGATGATCACGTATATCATCTAACTTATAACCGCTAAGATAAGACAGTTTGTCACACCAAGCCCTTTCAAGTTCTGAAGTGCCTAGACACAGCGCTCGAGACAGACACAACGCAATCACAGAGCGGAGGTTTCCTGGAAGATGCGCAAGATCATACTCTTGTATCGTAAGTTCCAAGAAATATTTAGCCAGGTTGTGCATAGTCCTATCAGCCTGGAAGAAAAGGTCAAATAAAACAAACTTACATCCACAGCCTTTGACAAGCGACGCAAAAATACTAATGGAGTTGGAATCGACAAATAGAAATCAGTCGATTGCAATATAATTTGTTCGGTGTTTCTTATGTCACTTTTAGAATAAGTATTGTTTGTAATTGATGAAAAGTCGCTTATATCGGGTGGATACATTTCTTCGAATTTGGCAGCAATGAATAATGATGCCACGCCTATAAGTTGAAACCCATCCTTTGTCAGGCTTTTTGAATTTTTCTATACGCATGTAATTATAAAGACACAACATACCAATAAATAACGGTCCAAAATACCAACACATAAATAGAGGGTCTCAGGTTGCAGTTTATAACTGTAGTGTACTTGGACAAGCCAATTAATTAAGATGTAACGCATTCTGGGAGTGATTTCACAATTTGTGGCCATGTAGTCAGCTACTAGGGGTTGTACTAACAGTTCTCTATCTTGAAGATAATTAAATATTCGTTCAGAATAAGGGTAAACCGAAGCGGCATCTCCGTAGTCGTTTCGGTCAATCTCCAAAAATTCCTCCGCCAACTGAGACGCTAAACATTCTGAACGAATGAGTCTTCGGCTGGATCGAAACTCCTTGAGTTGATCAGTTTGTTTTTGAGTCGTAACGTCAGGAGTTGAACCATCGATACTCATGTCGAGTTGTTTTTCTTTTTCTGAAGCGGAATAATAACGTGATTACTAATCTCACTTAGTTCCAAACATTTGTCATTCTTCAAGCCTTTTTGTTTCTCTGCTTCTTTCGGCAAGATACTAGTAGCCTTATTCTTAATATCACCTAGTGCTGCGCGTGACCTCGTTGACACACCCGTGCTTTTGACTTTTTGGATGAGATTATCCTTAACACCAACGGCAGCGTTTTCATTAGCCTGAAATTATTCTAGGAAAACATCTTTTCCTTACGTAGACCCCGAAACGGCTGCGAGTCAACATTGTGGTGATTTTCAAAATGCAGCTGACCGATCAAAAGGCGTACCACCCGCCAAATGCAACGAACTGGTCCTGAGAATTATTCAAACAGCGAAGTGGTTCAAATGGTTCAAATGGTTTTGGGCGGAATAGAAGAATCTGTCGCTTCAAAAGCTTCCGTGTCTAGTAGCAGTGCATCACCAATACTTCCAAGCAGGAACCTAGGTATATTGTTGATAAAAGAGGAAAAATAGTAAGATTCAGATTTCAGATTCAGATTTGTGTGATAAGGAGAGAAGGCATGCGGCTTATGTCATTCGTTTTCTTGTATGTCTGTACGAGTGTCCATTCTACTCTTTAATGAGTCATTTGAAGGTGCGGACACCACTGTTTTGGCTAACAGGTCCCAAGTATTGATGACTTGGTGTGAAAACCTGTGTGCCACGGGTATTTTGTACGTTCTCAGTTTTTCTACTCGCCTGCTATTTCCTTTAAGATGTCCCGATCTTGTGGGGAGAAAAACAGAGAGTATATTAGGTACAAAATCATTTCTTAGTATTCTATACATCAAAATCAGATCACCTCTTTGTCTGCGACAGGACAGTGTAAAGAGGTCTAGCTTTCCAAGCCGCTCTTTGTATGGCAAACCTCGGAGTTCTGGAATTACACTTTGAAGCCGCCCTCTGCTCTTTTTCCGAGGTATTCGAGTCACTTTTTAAACAAGGGCTTGCACCCTGAACGCAGTTCTCAAGCTTAGTTCTCACTAAGGGTGTGTACTGTAGTGAACATGGTAGTATCTAGCTTAGTGAATGCCCGCCTTAAATCCCAGAGGGTTCTAAATCCCTCAGCTGCAACTTCCCGGCAGTGGGCCACGGTCTTAAGATCATGATTCACTGTCACTTCAAGATCCTTGTGAGACCAGACCACGGCTACAGGCACTTTCCCCATACCGTACCTTTTAACCTTCGTATCCCCAAAGTGCATATAGACACACTGCCGCGTTGATAGGCATCAGCCACTCGTTAGTCCAGTTAATGACTATATCTAAGTCTTCCTAAAGTGCGCATGCATCTGCAACTCCCGTCATTACTCGCCATATTTTTACATCGTCAGAGTATGATAACATTGGGGACTGTACTATACTTAGGGAATCATTTACATACAGTATAAAAAGTAAAGGACCTGAGACAAAACCTTGAGGTACTGCACTAAGTACTGATTTCTTGGTGAAGCACTTGGAGTTAATTCTTGCCTTCTGTCTATGACCTACTAGGAAATCTCTAAGCCATTTTAAGAGGGGTCCGGCAATAACTTCAATAGCAGTCTATTTGTTGGCACCTTGTCAAAAGCCTTGCTGAAGTCTATGCAGAAGACATCCACTAAGTTTCCGTTATCCATCGCATTTACCCAATGCTCCGTTGCTATAAATAGGTTAGTCGAACAAGATGAACCCTTTCTGAGACCACGTTGTTGATTCCCACGATTGTTGTGCTTTTTTGACTACTCTTTCCAATATTTTAACTACGACACTGGTAAGGCTAACAGTTCTGTAACTCGACGGAAGTTGTTGGAAGCTGGTCGATTCAAGAGTTCTTTGAAGTGTTCTACCCACCAGTCCTTGCTTTTCACTGGTCGTTCATGTTTGCGGCGATCTCCAGAGAGTTTCTTTGTTATGTCCTACATTTGTCTCATGTTTCCTTCTCTTGCAGCCTTCTCCGCCGTCGTTGCTAAATCTTCCACATATTTACGTTTGTCGGTTCTGATGCTCCTCTTCACTTGTTTGTTAACTTTTATCTATTCAACTTGTGCCTTGGCTTTTTCTGCTCTTGTTCTACTGGTATTGATTGCTGCCTTCTTTCTTGAATCTTATCCAGTGTATCAACAGTGATCCATTCCTTGTGATGGTACTTCTTGTGACCCAGGACCTCATGACATGTTGAAGTGATTGCCTCTTTGATCCCCTTCCAGTTGCTCTCCACAGTAGTTTCTTCTCCATTGAGTAGATCATGAAAGGCCTGGAACTTGTTGCTGATGACTATTTTGAATTTGTTGTTTGTTAGTATCCTGGAGAAAGGCCGTATTGAACTTTTGTGATATTGTCCGCCCCGTTGTCCAGTGCTTCTTGAGTTTCAATTTCATCTTGGCGACCAGCAAGTGATGATCTGATGTTATATCAGCTTCTCTCTTGGTTCTCACGTCCTCTGTAGTCACTAGTGACCAGATGATTATTCCTAAACCTTAGGAAACATTGCAATTCAATACGGTCTTTTAGAAGTTGAAAACCTCCAGAAAACTGAACATATAACGCCATTTGCTTTTGAGATCTGTACTTACTGGCTGATAAAGTACAGTAATTCCGAAGATGTGCTTAGACTTGTAGTGGCATTGGACAATAGCCACACAATCCACAAAGCTGTGAACACGAGTCTACTCAGAAAATAGATATTCAATATTTAACTCGGGGAAATACTTAAGAATGGAGAAGGCGGGGAGAATAAATTGAATGGACTGGAGTTGATCGAGTGGCATGGCTCGGCCATGCAGGCGTGGTCTCTGCTGAATGTTACCTTATATCTTCTATTCATATTAAATATATTGTTCTTTCTCTAGCCTAACCTTGTTCTACATAATGTACTGGTATTTGATACGATACAGTGAGTTGATGTAACCGATGGTGTGACTTCCACGTTAGATCTTATAGATTAGGCAGTTATATCATGACAAATCTACAATTTCAGGATTAGGTCTACTATTAGAGCAGTACTAATATCATAGTAGATCATAGTTCTACAGACTAAACCGAAAGTTTTATTAATTGTGTATTTAGAACGCTGACTACTGTGGATAAGTCACAATGAAAGAATCACTAGGACACAAAATCTTGGCATTCTATCTTCACAGCTTGACGCAAAAGATATTTGGCATTACTAAACAGAATACAGACTTCCACCACTAGACCTCAGATTCTGATTATATAATTCTATTCCCTAAAACTAATATGATATTGACCAATAATACTGTTGGATACGTTTTCAAAGTGCTGAGAAACCTGGGTTCACAAATAGGAGACAATAACAGAGAAAATTAGGTGACACAAACACACACCACCTCTTAACGTAAAACTCAAACAGCCAAACAGTTAATGACTCTACGCATTTGTAATGTTTCTAGTATTTATCACCTATTAGAACAAGACCGACAAGCTCTTTCGATAGCACACTTAAAATAAAAAATCGACGTACTACCACATACATCTATGTACCATGATCTTTTAAAAAACATCCAGATCATAATCAGACACTTGTTAATGTATTTCAACCACGAACGTTTGTCAAGTGGACATTCTGGATGATTTTCGCGTAGATTTATGAGGGTAGCAACAGAAAGTAAGTGGGAGTCAAATGTGCCGTAAAATCCTGATTTTTGCGAGTATTTCTGAAACTGAGATCATGCAAATGCACGAATAGCTCGTTCTTACAAATTCGATTCCACTTTGCCAACCGGAACTAAAATCACACATTTATTTCAGGTATAAACAAATCTTTCGTGTCAGCGATTGTTAACTTTTGATCTGAATTTCAAAGTTAGCAACAAGCTGTATCCGGTGTAACCTCTGCGTAATATGTAACCAAAACAAGTGTCGGCAATATGAGAATTAAGATGAATATCGACAAGTGTAAGTGCTCGAGCGCATCATTTTCTATGTTACAGTTCAACACGTGTTTAACAATAAGTCGGGTTTTCTTACAAAAAACTTGAAAAACGTGGAAAACTTAGACAGAGCAGTTTATTTGATAACACAAATTTATATTTATTTACAAAGAGAACTAAATCATATATATATATATATATATATATATATATATATATATATATAATGTACTACTTAATGCCGTGGATTGCGGCTAGTCGTCTTTCGCGTCGAAACTGAAGTGACACGACCAGTGTCACAAACAGATTGAGAAGTAATAGGATCTGGTTGCGCAGGTCGATCGAGTGCATTAGCAATAATCAAAGAATTCCCCGATTCAACCGATGGATTCACTGTGAGGTCGTTAATAAGTCTTGTTATTTGGGTGAATTTATTTATCTTGATTGGAAAACAAAATTGATAAGATGATTAAACAACGAAAGAAGTGATTGAAAGAAATACTAGAGAGAGATAAACTTTCTAAAATACGATCATACACTGTAGCAAAGTCTCAGAACTTTAAATGCTTATTAGAAAATATAATATCATTATTACACCTAACCAAACTGACTTTCCAGATTTATGATTTTAAACATGTAAGAGAAATCCTTCCAAAACAAATAGTGGTTAAATATTGATCACAGCTGTAATCTCACAATCGTCGTGTAATTTAGTCTGATGTCAGTAATCTAGGCGAAGTGACCAATACTCAGACTAGATCATACAGCTGCTCATATAATTGCAGAGCGACCACAAGGGGATCAATATAGGACAAGAAACTTGTTTCTTCTTTATCGCATTACGAACTAAAGTTATTCATTTGATATATCTTACATTTTCGCAAATTTTCATTTTTACTATTTCGTAATTACTGCTTAGGAAATATAACAATGTTTTTACTACGTTAATCTTGAAACGACCAGTTACTTTTCGCTCATTTATTTATCTGGTTAGATATTTCTCTCTGCTTCCATAATTACAATTAACTTCCATATCACGCTGTCTTGTAGTAAATTACCAATTCATTCTTCTTATTTATAGTTTTGTAATAGCATTACATTACCATCCGCAATAACAATTTACTTTGAATTCTGTGTTATAAACGCAACAATGTTTTTTTCGTATTACATGCCTGAATTATCGTTACACAAAATATTGATATTTATAGTTTCATATCAACCTAACATCTTTTCAAATTCCACAGAACCTATCAAACAAATTGCGACTATTAGATAAATAGTGCTGAAACAATTGTATATATGATGAAAACTCAATGGTTTCTTCATAAGTCATATTTACCCACAAATTGCTGGTGAATTATAGTAAAAAAAGTTGTTTAAACTAATATAGAGCTGACAGTGTATATGTGAGTAAATATTATTATAAATGATAAGTGGATTCATTGAAAAGACTCGAACCATATCATATTTTAACAAAAGTCAAAC